GCGCATAAGCGAATCCAGGCTTCTCGTTATAACGAATTGGAACGGTAATGATAAGGAGCGGCAGTGTTTTCACCTAGATGATTCTGATAGCCACGACATGGTTGAATACTGTATAACGATGAAGAGAAACAGGAAGGCAAGAGGTAATCAACAGGCAACTCCACACCCAACAAAAGAGAAGCCAAATGTGACCCAGTTAGACAACGAGAATCCAGCAACGTTCAAGATGAGTTCGATCACGACGGGTTTGACTCGCCTCTGTCTCTCAGGCTGGTGCAGCAACGGTGCTGATTTCATTGCCAATGCCGGCAACAAGGCGGCCAAAGACCACCCAAGCCGTGCAATAGGAGCAAATCCGCAGAATAGCTCCAGCGCTCATGAAAGTTGTCCCAACCAAGACTGACCTACCTCGACCCAACCTTTCCCCAAGCCAGACGGCAACGACGACGCCGAAGAAGCAGTCATAATCGTAAATTGCAGTTGCGGATCCCAAAAGCGATGTCTTCGATGAGCCGGCTAGGTTGTGTACCCGGAGAAAGTCCTAGGTAGCCACGACGCCGCCAAAGACACCCTGATCGTACCCAAACCTCCACGGAAGCAAAAATGTTAGGAGTAATAGCCAGAGGAAAACTTGCGCATTAAGTAACTTACAGCGTCATATCCGTTGCATAAGTAACAGAGATCCAGAAGCTCAATCATCATCCTTTCAGGCCAAAGTACGACTGCTTAGTTCTAAGGAAACCATGCTGTTCTTCTCGGTCGACGCTCGAGCTCGAGCATCGCAGACCGCGCCGCCATCGGGCGTGGGCCATATATGAATTTTCGACGATCATCGTCTTATTCTCCCGCCGCTCGACAACAGTTCTGCGACGTCATTACTATTGATGCCCTTGATTCAAAGGCACCGATCGGTTGAAAGGTTAGCATGGCTCTCGACCAGCAAAGACTGGTGATCCGAGGTGGCACGATATAGAAGGTTTGTAAGGATGGGCTTTTTTTTTTCATGAAAAACGCGACGGCACACATGAATTGCTGATAATCTGGCGGCCACTCAAGGATGCTCCTGCCTTTGTGGGCAATTGTCTACGGGGAACTTGTTGCGGGGTCAGCCGTATGTCGAGGTAGCGAAGTGTCCATGCACGATATCGCAACAGAGTCGCGTTGGAACATTGGCTTTTGAGGATTCGGGGTTTATAGGTGTCAATTTCCATCAGCTAAGGTTGAATTTGGTGGCGGCGTGGGAGATTGGCATCGTTTCTTGCTGCTGGAGATCTGGGCTTGCATTGCCTCATCTAATACTGAAAGGGGTACGCGCTGCTCGCGACACGGGCACAGGGGTTCGTCTCAGGAGAAACCATGCCGTAAGTCCAAGGGGGAGAAGTCTTTACTTTGGCGAACAGGCACCTCTCTCTAGAAAGTGACATGAACCAACAAATTCTGCAACCAGATGATCTGTAACCATGATTTCCGTAGCGTTAAACGTAGTACATTGAGTTTATCTTGCTTCCTTAAACGTGGCTATGATATTCTCGGGAGGATCTATCAATTCTCACAAGGCCCAAGAAGGAATCAACCCGTCAGAGCCTCATATCCTGCGCCTATGCCTTGAAAGAGTCGTACATTTCCGTTGCATTTCAATCGTGAGCCCAACGCCCCCGTCCACCCCGCCAAACCTTATACCTGAGTCGTTCCTTCACTCGTCCGCAGCGCGTTGTGAAAGTCGTAAAGAGAATTTGGTTACTTTAACTTTTCTTTCCATAGTCGAATGTTGTCGTGCCTGAATAGAAGGGCAATCAACCACGACGAGTATCGTACGAGCGACGGTGCATCTCATAACCTTCAGTTCGGGGTCGAGGCTTTTCACCCGCGAGGCTTTGTGCCGCCTCTGCGCTGTTCGTGTACCGTGGGAAGAGTAGCACCACGAGGTAAACAATGAAAACGACGGCAGAGAAGATGCTGTAGAGGACGACTGAGTAGGTGGGAACATATTCGGTGCCAATCATGCCCACAGTCTTGAATCCCAAGCCACCGTTGACGACACCGAGGAGGATCATGGCACGCCCCAGCCAACGGTGAGTTTGACCGTAAGCGCTACGCGTGCCGAACTTTCGGAAATGGATATGCTGAAGGAGACCCAGGGTGGGCTGGAAGATCCCCATCCATGCGACCAGGATGTATCCTATGACCATGTGATAGCCATCCAGCTCGTCGACTTGTTTGCCGAGTTGAACACCCAGACCCAGACCGACGATCATCAATATCAAACTGAGGACTTGCAACGGGGCATGGATATGTCGGACCTTGTTACTGTAGGGCAGATAGAGTGTCAAAGCCGCCAAGGGGAACATGACCACAAAGACCAAGGGCATAATGACGGCATGAGCGGTTCGAATGTTGTCATCAGGACTATCACTGACCACTGTTCCACTTGACGAAGATGGGTTGGAGCTCACAATAGGGTTTGACACGCCACCAGTAGGTGTGGCGACGGTGCTCGTGGTGGCCGTTCCTGACTCCGTTGCGGTGGCTGGCGTCCCATCTGCGGATTGAGAAACAGAGGCAGGTCCGGTCGCCGACGGGGCTGCTGAGGACGAAGAAGAATCACTGGAGGCAGCCACAAATGGGTTGGAGGAGCTGCCGCCAACACCTTGAGTCAAATCCAGGGTGAATCCACCGGTGCTGTCGTGCTGTTTAATGCTAGCAGATTGGTCCGTTGAGTCGAGAGGGTCTCCTGATTTGAATGCAAAGATCCAACTGCTCGAGGAGTCCGTTGGGCTCATGCTACCACCACTCCAGCTCAGGCATGTATCGCAACGGATATTGGCAACGAGCGAGCCGTCCGACGCAATACCACTTCCTTCCAGCAATGACACCGAGGCGTCTGAGTTGAACTGCGGTTGAACGTGGCCAGTGCCCAGTCTTGGGGACACAGTCACATTCGTGCTGTCGGCAGCATATACAACGAGCATGTTGGCTCCCGCCATGCCAGAGCCCTGACCAAAAGAAATCCATTGGGTCCCGCTAGGGGCACTGATCTGGAGGAACAGTGAACCGCTCCCGGATGAGGCAGTGTCCGAAGGGACATTGACCGCCAATGCGTAGCCACTGGAAGAAAACGACGCAAACTGAGCAGCCGAGCCAGCCACTGTGTCTGGGTCAGTAATGCAAGCCTTTCCTGAAGGGAGGGCGAAGGGGCATACCCAAGGCGGCTGCAGCCAAGACGCTTTTTTGCACCATCGTGCTCGGGCGCGAGTGATAAGTTCAAGATACGGTAGACGGTATGGTAACCAGAGATTAATTCGAGTATTGTCGGGTCCCTGCTAGACAGTATATCGCAGGATCAGCGAGGATATAAGCCTATCTCAGTCCGTTATCCACGCGTTTGTTTGCAAAGTCTTGGATGATGGACCGCGTGAGGGAAGGGAAAGGGGATTTAATTTATTGATCCCACCTCGACTCGACGCGCAAAGCAGTCCGTCTGTCCGAGACTCTGAGCCATGGCAAACCTTGGGCAGATTGCACGTCAGATAGTGGACGGCTGGATTGCGCGTCAAGGGGCTTGCCAAGGGGAGCCACAAAGCATGACCTAAAACACCAGCCCCTGTTTTACCCTGTACAAAATTCTCCATTTGGCCCGCCATGGCAATTACGCGGAGCACCGTAACAGAATTATCTTTGCAATAATGAAGAATTGGCCGTTGATATCCTCAAACATGGCACTTGCATCACCTCGCTGCGGGACTAATGGTTCACAACCGACCTCAGAGGTCTAGACGGAGTGACTCCGGAGCGGCAAACGCACAAGGCTGGATGACAGACAATAATAGAAATCATCCGCAGGGGTCGAAAGACGGAGGCAGTCGGAAAAAGGATCAACGACCCCACGTCTCTAACCGTATATGGGTTTAGCACCGGCATAGTGTTCTCTATCCCGCTGTTTATTTTACTAGCACGAGGCTTGGCGTCTTTGTCCCTTCCACACAGCAGGTCGATGACAATGGTAATCTGATAGAGTCCGATTGGCTGGGCCAATAGTCATATATTTTGTACTGTAGGGGGCGCTCTCGGTACCTGAGAATGCCTAGGTAGATATATCCAAACAGTTGGGCTGATTATCGCTGCCCTCCCTAGGTAGGTTTGAGAGGTGTTGGGTGATACGAGAACACATGCCTCGCACTGTGTTATGATCCAACACCTGTTGGATTGGGGTCCTGAGCCTGATCGGCGCTCTTCATCTTCACAACGTGCATGTTGGTGCCCCGGCTAAAGGTTTTCCGCCTGTCATGGCCCAGACAACAAAGTAAGAGGCGCAGTGTGTATAGATGCGCAATGAGGCCCAATTCCTATATCCAGAAAATGCCACAAAAAAAATACTCCGTATGAGGTCAGGAAGGATGGTGTGGCGACTGTGCACCCACAGCTAAATCCCGTTTCCTACGGGATTGTGCGGTCCGCGGCGGCTCTCCACCACCTCCAATCCTCATGATTCCAGCAATTATGATAATACTTCCGTTGGCGATTGGGTGCCATCAACGTATCTTACTATCACCTCAACGGTCCTATCAAGATATTCGAAGAGCTCTCTTTGATTCGACTGTAATAATCAGCACAAGAATGGTCTGGCCTCTTCAGGAACTTCATAAATTCTTCAACCAATCACGGTTCTTGAGATCATGGAGACTAAGGCAATCGAGGAGCCAGCGTAGTTGACCAAGGAGTGTTCATCCCCTCTTTCAACCCGCCTTTGAACGCCAAGGTCATATTTTTGGCATCAAGGATTAGGTCTTTTGTTTGATTAGTCTGGCTCCTGTGCATGAAAGGCTTGACCTTGCCGGCTCTTGCCCGACAACAGCAAAACACCTCGGCTTGAGTATTGGCGTCATTGACGGCCTTGTATTGCAGGAGCTGCACAAGGACCAGCATTGATGGGTGACATGATCCCAACCGCCACAAAAGCCCACACCATTCTCTCATTCGCCGCCAGGCCATCGACGCGCGAGTCAGTTTTTCGTCTTGACCATGATCTCTTTGATCATTTCGTTTCCCAGTCTCACGGCGTCCGGAAACCTCGGAGCAAAGTATTGCTGAATTCTCTCGAATCGATTCCGATACGCTTCAAACGCGCCGAAGGAGACGCATTCAGACCACGCCTACAGCAGAGTGCACTATCGTCAGCCACGGGTTTGATGCACAGTGATTTGCCAGCTTCTAGATCTGATCAAGTGTGCAGATGATATTTGAAATGTGAGAATACCCCAGACCAGGCTGCATATCCTGAACAACATGCAGATGAAAGGGTCAGATTTTGCCACATTGGGAAGACTTACTCTTGCCGCGAAAGTAAACTCAAGATCGTCCGAACGAAAAGTGTTATCTTCGATTGCCGTATTAATGACCTCATCTAGCAAGGTCTCGTTTCGAAAGAGATATTCAGTGACGCCCAACCATATTCGGAAGAGCTGGGAGTTGGGCTGTCAGAAATAGAAGCAAAACAAACTAGGCCAAGGAACAACTCACGGGCGTAGAGCAAATCATATGGTCGTATGGGACAATGCCGAGTTTCCACCAGCAATCGACGATGCCCAGCAGACTTAAGTGGTTATTCGGCATTCTCTCTTTGGGTCTCTTCGAGAGCGAGAACTTGTCCAGCACTTCGTCTCCGAGCAACAGATCCTGGTCAACAGCATCCTTTGAAAACACCGCTGCACCTGCCGTCTTGATCCTGTGGGACAGTTCTTCGCGATGGCCGCCCAACATGAGCTTGAAGAGTTCTGTCACCGACTCGGCGTATTGTCGAATCTGCTCTCTGGCCGCCGGGTTGAGGATCGCAAGGCCAGCGTAAACATGCCACTTGTTGGCATAGATACGCAATGTGATGTTGATCTTGACGTTCTCGATGCCACCAATATATCGATCGATTTCCCACGGAAACTGATTGTTCGCCGCCCAGGCCGTTCCCATGCTCAAAAAGGCTGCATGTGTGACAGCCTGCGTGTCTGCGGTAATACGGTCATGCTTTTCTCCAGATAAGAAGACGAATTTTGAATTCAGGCAAGAGAGGATTCGAACACAAAGATCAACACTTTTTTGAGAGGCTCGGTGTTGGATGACGACAAGGGGCTGGCCTGTCGGGTCTACAGCGGGACCATGCAAGGAATGGCAAGACACAATCTCAACGTCGTCGGGCAGATACTTGTCAAAGGCGGCCAGCTCAGGGGCTTTGCATGAGGTCTGCCCACCGACGATGGCTCCGACTTTGGTTGACGGGCCGTATTCAGCAACCACCTTCTCAATGAGCTCAGCTTCCACGCTGTATATGATCCAGTCACTTGCTCGGGAAACAAGATGACCGTTAGGCAAGATATATATTCCTTTCTAATCTTGGTCAATCATGTTCATCAACTCTGCTGACGACACAAACCTCATTCTCGTACTCATGGTGTAGAGTTTGGAATTTGTCTGGCCGATCGCAAGCGTTGACTCTGCATGACTAACATCAGTTCTAGTGCTTTTGTAGGTAAACGCAAGGTTTATCTCTGTCGAGAGGAAAGGTCAGCTAGGAGCCTTGGTGAGACTTTGGGGGGATTGTTGTACTGAATTGAAGCACCATCAGACGAGAAAAGATTAAGGTAGCGAGGGTTTTACATCAGTGACAGCCGTCGGGATGGAACGCAACATCAGAATGATGAAAGCAACATCACAACGACTATGCTCGAGCCAAATGCACTCAGAGTCATCCTTTAATAATGATGAGAGACGAACACGTCGACATACCTTAGCAACAGACATTCAGAGAAGGTATTTCTTTTCAGAAAGCAGACACTGCATTTCATACCTCCATCCAGCTTGACTGAACCTTCTTGCGTACATACGGCCCATGTCGCCCATACCAATGATTCCAACAGTGATGCTCTCCATGACTCAAGAAAAGGCACCGGGGAAAAGTCAGGGTTTGGTTGGCCTCCAGGTTTTAAGTCGTCTCTGTTCAGTGGAGTCTAGTAGATTAGTATTAGGATCACGACAGCTGGCCATCGATGAGAGATCATCAATTTGCACATGAGGCAGAAAGCATAGAACTTGAACTGTTGAACAGAAAGCCCTCCCGTGTGAGATGAGACGGAGAGAAAGTTTTCTTAACCCGCCAAGCCACTAAAGTAAATTCTGGGTTAATGTTCTTGGCAACTCAAGGACGAGGAGCAATCACGCGACAGGGCCCGACAGATTTCAAAGGTCTCCATACGGAGAATGGCCTACTGAGCCCAAGGAAAGGCTCCTTGAGATGATGATTTTAGGCCGACTTGCTCGAGCTTACAGCCAGCCCAATCGGTTCCATTCACACAATGTGTTGAGATGAATGATTACCGGCGGAGTTTGCCATAGTAATGCGAACAATTTAAGAATACCAGGCTAGCTGTAATAGATCTGCTCTGCCTCAAAGGTCTCGCATGTCTTTCATAATTGCGCACTCGCCTTTTCAAGGAGCGGACTAGGTTGATGGGAAACTGTATTGTACGGTGAACAATGTATCGAAGGTGTGGAGAGTGCCCGTCGTCGATACACTCTCCTTTGCTGCCAAGAATATGGACCGATGTGAACTAGTGTAAAGCTTGTCAGAAAATCCCGAGTCCCGCACCCACGCACCAACCGGCCTACCATTCGAAATTAACAAAATCATTGAAAACATTCCTTGTTGCTCTTGCCAGTCCACTCCCCTAACCAGCAACGACAGTCCAAAATGCCTCCCAAGAAGAAGGTCGAGCGCGCTGCCACCGAGAACATCTCCCTCGGTCCTCAGGTTCGAGAAGGTGAGTGAAATGAGGAAGCTCGTACTCGATTTGTGTGCTAATTGTTGCGCACAGGTGAACTCGTCTTCGGTGTTGCCCGTATCTTCGCTTCCTTCAACGATACCTTCGTCCATGTCACCGATCTCTCGTAAGTGAAAAGAACGCAAAGCAAAAATATACCATACAATCGGGACGGGATAGATGGTTCAAGAGGCTAACATTCTGGGTGATTCCAGTGGCCGCGAAACCATTTGCCGTGTCACAGGAGGCATGAAAGTCAAGGCCGACCGTGACGAATCCTCTCCCTACGCTGCCATGTTGGCGGCCCAAGACGTCGCTCAGCGCTGCAAAGAACTTGGCATCACTGCTCTACACATCAAGATCCGCGCCACCGGTGGAAATGGCACTAAGACGCCAGGCCCTGGTGCTCAATCAGCTCTGCGTGCATTGGCTCGCTCGGGAATGAGGATTGGAAGAATTGAGGATGTTACACCCACGCCTTCTGATAGCACAAGACGCAAGGGTGGTCGTCGTGGTCGTCGTCTGTAAGCGTGGACGCTGGTGCTGTCGCATGGTATTTCCTTTTACTACTTCCAGGAAGATGCTGCTGAAGGAAATACCACGAAAAGGCTTCTAGACGAGAGGAAGGGTAGGATGGACTCAAATACGCGAAGAACGGCTCTTTCCGCCTGGTCTTCAAAGCTACTACTTCTCAGTGGTCAAATGATCGCACGAGAAAGCCGTACGCATGATGAAATCAATCAGTCAAAAGGCAAAATTCCATCAGAGCTTTCGAATCCCTGTAGAGATTTTTCTTTCGTTCTCCCTATTTACTTCACTTTCGGCCAACTTAGCCATGGATGCACGAAATTCCTCGACGTTGGTCATTCTCTCACTCCCGCCCAAGACTTTTGTCGGCCTAGACCTCGTGTCGTTTAATTCGTCACCCCACTTCCAAGGTATCGCCAAAATCCCGTGGGGCATTCATTTTCTGTACACCGGGACCGACGCCTCTTTGTCAATCCGACAGGGAAGATGGCTGGACCTGAGTTCGGCCAACCCGGTCCAAGTCCTGGGATGGAACACAGACGGAGAGACGCTCCAGGTTGTGGATCTGCATGATCAGACAGCACAAAATGCGATCAAATCGGTCTCTAATGGTGGCAGACTAGTCGACTACGCCGCCCTGCAAAACGCGACCTCGGAACTATCCACACGAGAGCCAAAGGACGACGATGCCTCTCAAGCAGCAGCAGAAGAGGGCCGCGCAGAGAGCAAAGACTGGCCCGCCCTGACGACTCATATCTCCCCCTCCCTTCTCACGCGCATCCTCTCTCCCGACTGGATCATCTCGTCAATCTCCTCTGCACCCAACGACACTGAGACCATCCCCGGGCTATCGCACCTCGAGGCCTCGAATGCTCTCCACCAACTTCCCCTCCACTTGCTCCCGGTCGATCTCAAGCAGACCTGGGCAGACGGAGACATAGGCCGGACCAGGACCGACAGGGCACGAGACCGGAGTTGGTACCTGGGGCAGTTGATCGAACACGCAGCGACTCGCCCCCTGCCAGGCGGCCGCGGCGGCGGAGACGAAGCAGCGGTAGGCGCACGGGCAGTTCTGGGCGAACTGCAATTCTGCTTCCTGATGGTGCTCACGCTCGCCAACTACAGCTGTCTCGAGCAGTGGAAGCGGCTCCTCACCGTCCTCTTCACCTGTCGCACCGCCCTGGACGAGGCCGAGGCATATTTCGTGCAGGCGGTCAGAGTGCTGCGTCTGCAGATAAAGCACGTAGACGACGTCGAAGGCGGGCTTTTCGAGCTGAGAGACGAGTCTGCCAGCGCTTGGCTGAGGACGCTGTGGGCACGGTTCAGGAGGTTGGTGGACGACCCGGAGAAGGGGCTAAGAGAGTCGCTGAAAAGGGAAGTCGATGTCTTACAGAGATTGTTCGAGGAAAAGTATGGATGGCAGAGTGAGAGGGATATCTTGAGGAGGGGGATGTTGGAGCTGGAGGACGGCGAGAGGGTCGAGGTCACCATGCCGGGAGTCGACGAAGACGAAGAGACTGGTGAGTATGCGCCTGTTATCGTCGAGACTTGATGCCCACAGTTGGGTAAAGACAAAGGAATGTCTGTGACCTTCCAAGCCAGCATTTCACGTGAAGCGCATCCGAGATCTTTTGAACGGGAAATTTAATTCTTGCTTTGCACTTTGATCGCACGCCCAGGCCAGGGCTGCGCCTACAAGCCTTTGAGCCCCGATGAGTGACCCACGACAGGCGGGTTCGACGTTCATCAACTCGACCAGCCATATCATGCCCCGCTCCTATGCGTTTTGGAACAGGTTCGATGCTGTTCACCTTCGCATCATTCTTTCTCCCAATCAAGCAGCAGTGATATTCTCACCAGACCTCCGCGAACACCACAGCCGCAAGCACTCCGCGCGCATTCCACACAACAGCGCAACCACAACCTCCACAAGCACCGCAACGACCAGCCAAAACACCACTTAACGATACGACTTTTGGTACCGCGCTCTCGCACCTGGACCTCCAAATTTCTTCGGCTCACACCGTCTGTTATCCGCCACTAGTAGTGTACGATCGTATTGGACCAGCGCCTGCTTCAACTGGTTTTTGGTGTACTCATCGACGAATTTCTGGTAGTAGGCGACAATGGATTTCGAGATGGCCTGGCGGATAGCGTAGATCTGGGATGTGTGACCACCGCCTGTGACACGGACACGGATGTCGACATCGGCGAATTTGTCGAGACCAACTATCAGCAGGGGCTCGTAGACCTGTGGATTGAAAAACAATTAGTGAGCCACTGTCTGCATACATGTTTTCCTTGTGCGGATTCGGGGGCCCTTGGAGTCGAACGTGTAGAAAGGCAGACCGAAAGCGTACCTTATATCGCAGGATTTCTGGTTGAACGAGGGAGAGAGGTCGGCCGTTGACTTTGATGAGGCCCTTGCCTTTCTGTATACGCCCAAAAGTCTTCGTCAGTTCCTCATTCCCAAAGTTGTAGTATTGCCTTGGTATCTTTCTGACCTTGCAATGAGCGACCGCTGTAGCAGTCTTCTTCTTGCCGAAGCACTGTACACTCTGAGTGGCCGACATCTTGAGGGCGGACGGCGATTGCACAGAGTCGATACAGCTGGGTAGATTACTCGATTGTAAAATGTTTCGTGAGGTGCTGGTGTTGGCTCGATTTTCGCAGGGAAAGTGCGGGCAAACGCCAAGAATTATGACGCTAATCCTGCTGAGGTGCTAGCGCCGTCTTCAGACTTGAAGCTCAATGCGGACTCTTTTCAACCACTCCGTACCGAGAAGGGACATTATCCATCGACCTCGAGGATTCTGAAGGCTTCCTGCACTCGCGCACGACTTTGGAGGCAAGCGCTACGCGACCAAATACCTCCTCTCATGTCAAGATAGCGCTACGCCCGCCATGTCGCAAACAATAGGAAAGGTGCGTTCGGAAATCTCTTTTCTCCGAGCCATTGCATACCCATAGGTCTTATCCTAATGTCTCCGTCCTAATGCTAGACACGTCTTGCCTACTCCCGCACATGGCACTACATCGATGTGGGTTCGGATTCTCGGTCCCTGGGACGAATTGCCTCCTCCATCGCCGTCTTCCTGATGGGCAAACATAAACCAATCTACGACCCATCCACCGACTGCGGCGACTACGTGGTGGCTTGCGGCTGCCACGACATCCATGTCACGGGCAAGAAACGCCAGCAGAAACAATATTACACACACAACACGCGCCCGGGTTCGCTAAAGCAGATGAGCATGGAGAGAATGATCGAGAAGTGGGGTGGTGGAGAGGTGTTGAAGAAAGCTGTAAGGGGAATGTTGCCCAAGAACCGGCTGAGGGATAAACGGTTGGCGAGATTGAAGGTTTTCGAGGGCACGAGCCATCCGTATAAGGCCAATATTGTGAGGTTTGCAGGGAAGCCATTTACTGGTGACAAGCCCGGGCCAGTCATACAAGCTATCGAAGCGAGCAAGGAGACGAAAGCGAGTCCTTAGAACAAGAGATGTTATGCATTATTTGGGTTGTACTAAGAAAACAGGAATGACAGGTTGTGCAGGTTGCCTTTGTATATGTGTATCGTTGAGGGTATATGTACAGACTATTGTTATCCGGCGACACCTCTCCAATGACTGCAGTACCAGAACTCCGATCCCGAACATGCTCTAGCAGGTCTGGTCTACAGTTTAGAGGACAACGCAGTGTCGTCCCGGGTCACAGTGCACTTGATCAGCCCGTTGGGGTCTGATTGAGGTGCATAGACTTCGGCATCCTTTCCAGTGTTCTTCAAGCCGTGATGCCAGCTTAGATCGATCTCGAAATAGTGCTTGTTCGGCAGCGAATAGTCAACTGCTTGAACCATGGGCTGAGCGGCCAAGATCTGTTCACACATCTTGTACATGGTGTTTTGCACGCTAGGACTCTCCTCGAGGGCGAAGAGGCGGAAAGTGATTTCTCGAGCTTTGGCCCAGGTCTCGTCAAACTTGGCCATGTACTTCTTTACCGCATCAAGGCCAGCGAAGGTGGACCATTTCCAGTTAGCGTCGACCGATGTGCTGAGAATACGATCCCAGACTTCGGGAAGGGTGGTGAATTCGTCGCGGACAAAGTGGTGGAACTCAGAGCCTGTGCTCTTGAGCACGAGTAGGTCGGAGATGCTCGACTTGATTTCAATACCCTTGCCCTCAATGATGTCTGCCTGTACCAGTCTCTTCTCGTTCCCATCACGAAAGAAGGAGTGAGGGTGAGGTTTTCCGTCAATGGTCATCCGAGTCCATCTGTGTTGGACGATGGATATGTGAGCAGTGTGAATGTGCTTGTACGTGTTAACGAAGTGGGTGCCGAGAATGGACGCGAAGAGTTCAGGTGGGTGGACGGGGTTCTGTTTTGCCATGATGTATGTGGTGTTCTTCATTGAGTCGGTTGCAACGACGACACTGTTGTCGGCTTTGGTGTATCTGGGGCGATGTCAGTATGGGACTCGTGGTGGAAAATGGGAGAGTTACTGACGATACATCGATCTCCCCTTCCAGCAAAACGCAGACCGTCATCTCGTAGACGGTGTGAGTCTTTGTAGCTTCATCCCTCTCCACCTTGTACAGGCGAACGTTGTCCTTGCCATACCGAGCTGCAGCGAGCTTAGCCATCTTGAGAACGGATTTTGAAATTGTTCGATGTAGTAGATCTTCAGGACTTGAGCTGCTAACTGAGCGTGTTCGCCTGCGGTGAGTCTGACAGGATGTGTACGAGGTTACAAGGAGAAGGGAATGCAGATTCTTTATATTCGCACTCCTACAGACCTCTTATCGGAGGGGCATGCAGAGAAGAGCAAAATTCCACGACCAGGATCACCAATTGCACGCAGGTCCATGAGCACAGATCTTGTAAAATTGCTGATCATAGATTCATCGAGCATAGGCGATTGGAGTCATCAGCCAGCAATTTGATGGGGATTGGGCTGTCGTACGAGCTCAGGACGACGGAGCTCGCCGAGACGCGCACCCGCAAAATGCCAACGGGAAATCGCTTTATCGTCGGGTAGTATCTGCATTGGGATGACGGGCTCACCTGATATTGGATCTCCTCTTGAAGGTCGATGCTTTGTTCTCTTTGGAGATCCGAACGAGCCTTGGTCTTTGTGGGAGCACTAGTTGGGTGGCTGGGCCAGTGCTGACACCGCCAGCACTGCAGGCTTGGGGGGTTTTTTTTTGGCGAGCTTTAAGAAGCCAAAATGATGTCAATCTGAAGGTGTCCCCGATGTGTCTGATCTGTTTGCTACCTTTTGCAACCGTGGTCTATCGTAGGTTGGCTTCAGGAGGCCAGCGGAGGGAGCGAGAACTTATAGAAGAGGGAATGCCGATGAGCGCATGTTCTTGTGTCTAGACTCTCTCTGGCAGCTCAGTTCTCCTTTTTGGACGTTAGCTGCTTGGATCGAGGGGCTCAACAGAGTCTAGAGGATTTGTTTAATCCCCTGATGCATCCAAGCATTGCGGGGTCAAGTTTGGGGGGAAGAAGATACAGAGGCGCAGAGGCGCAGAGGTGCCACCTGCGCTCCCTGAAATGGCTTGAATTGGTGACAGGCGCATGCCTTGGATTCGACCGCGCTGACTGTGTGATTGCACCTATACCCAGCAACTGCTATGTACATCCATGACTCGTTACATGCCAACCCTCGAGATAGTGGGTTGACCTTCACTCTTTTGCATACCAAATACCAACGCGAACTCGCCTGTCGCTGAGAAAACTCACCTGCTCCTCCCACAGTCAAATTGCCTCCGCAACCGCGTCTCCGTCTCCCGTCCCAGGCCGCCCAGAACCAACACTGCGAAATCCATCCAGCACAGACAGACCACTTACAAAAGTCCCATGAACAATCCAACCAACATTCGAGACGCATACAGGTCGTTCCCTCCCTAAATTCCACGTTGTTCCATTCCGCGACGCTCCCTGAGCCTGTTCCGGCAAAACCGACCAATACTCTGTACCTATGGGTGTCTCCTGCACCGCCCCGAATCACCCAACCGCCTAGAAGAGGGTCGATACCCTCCATGGCTCGATGGCCTCGACCGACCAAGCGTCAGGCTACTCGGTGACACCTACTCAAGGTCGGTTCAATATCCGACATTCCTCCAGAAAAAGTGACGACTTCTCCGCCTCTCAACGACCCTCTGTCAAAGATGGCCGCTCGCTCTCTGGCGGAAGCGCTCAATATGGCCAAAAGGCTTTCCTCCCCGCCTTTACTCCTGCCAATCCTCCGGGAAGCTTCAGCACCGATCTGAAAAACACCACGCATTCGGGAAGGACTACTCCCCAGACGGAAGTGGCCGGCGTCACCTTTGCTCGTCTACAACCGCAACACAAGGATGTGGACGCTCTTACCACCTCGGAGCAGCGACAAGCTGCGGTACGTGATAAAATTGCAAAGGAGATGAAAATCAAGCTAGGGACTGAGAACATGTTAGAAGCGCTGCTGAGCAAGAACAACAAGCAGACCAAAGAACAGCGGCAAAAGGTTGAAATGGAGTTGGGCTCTTCTAACAGGAAACTGGCCGAATTGAAGCAAGAACTTGACCAGGAGATCATGCGTTCTCAGACCCCGACCACCCCTCCGAACAATCGCATTACCAGTTACTTTCGCGGAAGTCCCCTCAAGTCCCCTGCCCTGGGGCAAAACCAGGGCTCAGACCTCGCGGAGTCGATTGACAGCGAGTCGCCCACGGTGGTGCTTACAGAGACCCTTCAACAACTCGAGGCGGATGGGATGCCTCCAGACTATTACATCGAGCGCGCAAATACTCTAGTCGACCTTCTGAAGCGCAACCCTGGCCTGAAGTACGACCTGGCCTGGAAAGTCTTCAGCGAGCGGGTTCAGATGATGCTGCTCAGCGAAAGCTCCGATGTCGTGGCAGCAGGCTACAGACTCACCCGGCACGCCATTGCGGATCGGAAATCCCTGCAGACCATCCGAACCCTCCACACGGACGAACTAGTCATCCTATCCCTAGTCAAGAAGGCCAACACTATGTTGGAACGCGAGCAAGCGATTAAATTTGTCCGGGCATTTTTGGACGTCAAAGACGGTGTCTACGAGATTTCCCGTGCCGTTGTGCGAAGCCTGGTAGCGGTTGCCGAAACATATGATGATCGACTGAGGGATATCTGCTTGTTGACGCTGGCGGAACTCCTGACGAAGCACACAGAACTGGTCGTTGCTGCAAATGGGATGAGCACCCTTACCGAGGCCCTTGCGGATGGCTCTTTTCCTGCGCCCGAAGGTCTTGTTGCTAGCTTTCTTCACATCCTGGATCATCCACAACAACGCAAGTACTTACACACTGGTCGGGAGTTTGAGGCAATGTTCGCTCCGTTCACAGATCCCTTACTGCTCAACGGCAACGAGGAGAGATTGAAGACGTGTGCTCAGGCAATTGCAGCAATGCTCAAGACTTGGCCTGGCTTCCTCCTTCTGTCGATGAATGGTGCCTCTCCTCTTCGATCTCTGATTGACTCGCTGGTCTATCCCATAACGGCATCTCGGGATATTGTATTGGAGCTCTTTTTCGACATCCTCCGCATA